CTAATAGCTTTTAATATTTTATTCTTGTGCTGAATTTCTGGGATCTTGATTATTATATGTCTGGGTGTAAATTTACTTTGGTTATGGCTTGTTGGAGTCCTATATGCCTCACTTATCTGCATGCTGGACCCATTTCCCATGTTTAGGAAGTTTTCTTCTGTTACTTCCATGAATATCCTTTTAATTTTATTTGTGTTGACCCCTGCTTCTTCACCTACACCAATCATTCTTAAGTTATGTATCTTTGCCTCATCTTGCAGCCATTGAGTTGTTATTTCCTGATTATTTCCTGTTATTTCCTGATTCCATGTTATTTTTAAGAGATCTTTCCTTTCATGATCACTAGCTGCAATCCTGTCTTCGAGGTTTGAAAGTCTATCTTCAGACTCTTTCAAGCAATTTTGCCAGCTTTTGATTGAATTTTTAATTTCCTGCATCTCTCTTTGAATCTGTTTCATGTATTGTAATTCCTTTCTACATTCATTCAAGGTTTCCATCATTTTCCTATGTTTCTCTGTATTATCTCTGTCTTTTTTAGACCTGCCGAATAATTCTTTCAGTATGTTTGTGATTTTTTCTTTTACCTGAGATATTATTTCTGATTTGACTTCTTTCACAATCTCATGAAATTGTTTCCTTATTTCAGCTGCTATCCTCTCAAGAGATTTCAGGTATGTGACTTCCATTTTTCTTCTATGACTGTATCTCCCAGACTTATTCTATGTGGGCTAGAGGTCTGAGTGACATTTTGATCCTTCATCTTGACATTCTCCTGGGTGCCTCCCAACAAGCTAGTTGTGAGGCCCCAGGCACTTCCCATGTTGGCTGCCCCTAGTACTGTAGCTGGGTTCCTCTAATTCCAATATCCAGGGAGATAGTTGGGTGTGGAACAGGCTTCTCTAGACCTATGCAGCTACACTGTGGCTTTGCTGATGATCAGGGGTGCATGGAGGTTGGGCTGCTTCTCTCAGCCTGTGTGTCTACACTGGGATGGTGGCAGACACATAGGAGTGTGTTTGATTCTACTAGTGGGTGATGGCTGCCTGAGGGAACCAAGGACCTCCAGCCTTACCTGGCTGTGTGTCCCTGCTCCTGTCGGCTGCCTGCAGCTCGTTGAGGGTGAAGGCAGATCTGCTGGTTCTCTCCGCCTACGCTGGCCACCTGCAGGATGTGGCCTTTTGGTGGCAGTGCCTGGTAGGCAGAGGCCTATTTCTTGGTCCTTTTGGCCCATGCTGGGTGCGCAGAGGAAAGGGCCTCCTGGTTGTGGCGCCTGGTAGGCAGATGCAGCTCTCCTGGTTCTCTTCAATGGAGTTTTTAATTTCCTGGATATCTCTTTGAATCTGTTTCATGAATTCTAATTCTTCCATATATTCCTTTTTCCCCTGCTCTCTTTTTTTTCAAAATCTATGTCTTCTTTAGATATGCTCAGAAACTCTTTCATTATGTTTGTCATTTCTTCTTTTACCTGAGATATTATTTCTGATCTGATTTCTTTTGCAGCCTTATGAAGTAGTTTCTTTACTTTAGTTGCCAATCATACCAGAAATTTCAGATGTGCCAATTTCAATTTTTTCCAAGTCTATTTCTCCTGGGCTTGTTCTATGTGGGCTGGAGGCCAGAGATTGCCCTTTGCTCTTTCATCTTGACCTTTTCCTGGTTTCCTCTAGATGAGCCCTATGTGGGGTCCTAGATACTTCCTGAATTGGCTACCCACAGTGCAGGGAAATACATCAGACACCTGGGTTTCTTCTAACCTAGGTTCCTGGGGGAGGTGGTAGGGCATGGGGTGGGCTTCTCCAGAGATATGTGGCTTCTCTGAGGTGTGGCTGGCTGTTTTCCCCCCTGCACACTGGCTACAGGTCCTTGATGGTGGCCATCGAGTTCACTGGGGCAGGGTTGGCTGCTTCTTTTCCTGATCTGAGCTGGCTACCTGTGGGAGGGTCCTGATGGCAGCCTGTGTGCATGTGGGGCAGGGTCGGCTGCTTCGTCTTCCACCTTGTCCTGGCTACCTGTGGGTGAGTCTAGATGGAGGCCCATGTGCCAAGACTTCAAAACAGGATAATAGGAAATCAACAGTGGTTACCATAATGCTGCTTGTTGTCTTTAAAACTGAAGCACATACCATCAGACAAAGTCAAAACGGAACAGAGTATAACCAATCTAAACAGAACATTGAAGAAAGTAGAACAATAAAACAGAACAAAACAAAATAGTGTGAACATGCTGGATTTCAAAAGTAAGACAGAAGGAAATACTCCATAGTTGCTATTTGCATAATGTTATCCTCTAAATAGATGTTCAGTGACAAAAATTAAGATAGAAAGAAAAGCAGAGGCGTTAAGAGCTTAAAGGTTCATCATCATGCCCAGCAGAGATATATTTTAAGAATGTTGTAGAGAAGGTGGCTAACAAGTCCAAACTAGAGTCCATCATTAAACTTTCCTGGTATGAATGCCAGGAGGATTAACAAGGGCCTTGCAAAGGAATGTTAGTTTAAGTAGTGGCAACTTGACACTATGGGGACTTTTGGTTTTACTTCAGGACAGTAGTGGCCAGTTGAAACCAATTCTTTCTTTAAAAGTTGACATGGTCTGTTGAGTATGGCCCCTAGGAGTAGGACAGCTCTTCTCTTTATGGCTCTCAGGCATGAGGAGTTGAGAATGACTGCTTTATTGTGGCTCTTGAATGTAGGTAGGTGTTGTTTGGATAAAGAGGAGGATGAAGTACTAGTCTGGTATCCATGGAACAGAAAGGAAAAAGAGCTGAATTTCGAACTGGTTTGGAATACAGTGGTACCTTGGTTCATGAACTTAATTCTTTCCATTGTTCTGGTTCCAGACCAAATTGGATGAGAATGAAACAAATTTCAATAGTTAGGTTTAATGTTAACTTATGGGGACTTTGTTTGATTTGGTCCTTGTCCAATTCAGTTTGCAACCAGAACTGCCAGGCACTGCTAGACAGCAGAGTGGGGAAGAAGATATTATTTACAGTTACATATATTTCAGAAGCATACACTCAAGCGTCAGAGATATGTTACAGACTGTTTGAGTCATTAGGAAATCTAAGAAATTTGGGTAAGCCTGTTTGTCTATTCCTATGCCAATGCATATTGCTTTAAGTTATTATGCTATTACAAATCATGGTAGGATAAAAATTTCTTTTTTCTTTGTTAAAATTATGTATTTCATAGGTTTTCAGTTTTCTTATGAATTTTGGGATTGGCTTGTCAATTTATATACTAATAAATCACATACACACAAACCACACAAAAACACTGTGTAAATTTTTTGGAAACTGTATTGAGTTGATTGCCAAATTACTAGAAGGTCCTATTCATGAATATGATATCTGTTATTTATTTTAGTCTTTTCCTGTGGTCTGCATTACATTTTAGAATTTTTATGTAACAGGCTTTGTAACTCCCCTTGTTTCTTGTTTTTTGAACTTTAAAATTATAATCTTGAGGCTTGGAATTTAGTTCAATTACCGAGCACTTGTCAAGTATATGTGAGGTCCTGGGTTCAATCCCCAGCATCACCATCACAACAAGAAAATATTAAAATCTTGGGCTTATTTTTGGCTTGATTTTTCTAGATTATTATAATATCCTACAACACTTGAGTCCATCATTAAACCATCCTTGTAACACTCTCATATTTATTTTGATTGTGTTTCAGTAGACTCATTTGGAATTTTATGTTGATATATCATATATAAGTAAGGTTTTCATCTTTTAAAAAATAACTGTAAAATGTTTTGTTTGAATTTAATTGGAATTTTAGGGCTAGAAGGTCATCAATGACCAGGAAGAACAACTAGAATACTATTAGTAGATGAAATATGATGTGACTCTATTATGTATTAAGAAACTTATATTTGGCTTTTATCTCTGGTTTTTGATACAGAGTTGCTAAATCTTTGGGAATTTCCTGAGTGATAGGAGTCTCTTGTGTCCTCATAAGGTGACATCTGATGGGTTCCCAATAGTTTTAGGATAGGGATGGTCACTACAAAAACAATATTATAATTTGAAGATTAAAATTTTCAGCCTTGCATACCTTTTTCCTGAAAGGGGCAAGAGGCTGGAGACCATCTTGATGACTGATCATGCATACGATATGAAGGCTCCATAAACATCTCTGACATAAGGTGCTAGAGGCTTCCCAACTGGTGAACATATTTATGTCCTGGGAGAGTGGCATCATGCAACTCCAAGGGGGCATAACTTCTGTGTTTGGGACTCTTCACCTGAGGTACTTTATACCACCTGGTTATTTATCTATATTGTTTGTAATATCCCACATAGTAAATCAGTAAGTGGTAAGTCAAAGTTTCCTGGGTTCTATGTGCTGTTCTAGCAAATTACTGAACTCATAGTGGGGTTGGGGAGTCAGGGGAACTCTCCAGTTGGTCAGAAGTGCAGGTTACAACCTGGGATTTTGCCTGGCATCTGAAATTGGGGGCTGAGCCTTTAATCCATAGGGGTCTGTGTAAACTCCAGATAGCCAGAATTAAAATAAATCACAAGACATTCATTTGGTTTCTTCAGAGAAATGAATTGCTTGATATAGAAAATCCGTACATTTTGTGTCAAGAGTGTTATAGATGACAACATATAGAAAACTATGCACATATATTGTTGTTGTGGTGGAAAAACATATCTAATAATTAAAATGTGATATTTTAGGAATAATGATGCCTATTTATACATGATAGAAATAACGGATTAGAAACAATGAATAATTTCTATGAAAAGTAACACACTAAAAGGGGAAGAAATGCAATTAGCACTGCAAATAAACCACAGCAGAAAGTATCTTTAGTATATCACACTTGCAAGTAGATAAGGTGGAGTGATGAAGAGTAAACTTGTAGGTATTTTTAGGCAACATTTTTACTCCATTCTGTCAATGCACTTTGTTTGCACAACCAGTTAGACATCAACTTCAACAAATACAAAATACTACTTCCAACACTCAATAAAGGTATAGACTTACCATTATACGTTGTATTCAAAATGAAGCCAAGTAATGCTACATCATTGGCACAGGGGCACTTTGTCACTTTGAGATCTATTACATGTGGATATAACACACTGATCTCTTGTGATGACATTTCATCTCCAAGTTTCCACTGAAGAATAGGTTCTGTGGAAATCAAAGTTAGGCTTTAAATTGTAGCAGTATTCATGAAAGTGAAACATTGCCATATTAATTTAAAGATTTTTAGAGATACTATGTAAAGGAACAATTCTATTGTCCAAAATGGATGTAGGATGATTCATACTTCATCAACTACAGTTAGGTCAATTTTTATTTTCTAGAAAGGGAATCAGATCAAATTCCCTTCATGGAACCTTGGCAAGATCACCCTACAAAAGAGCATGTTGGATGGGAGATATTTGGAAAATACCATCTGCCTTAGGATCTGTCCCTAGAAATGGAATCTCTGGATCACAAAATATGCATATTTTAATTTAGAGAAGCCCTTCTACTTCCAGAGCACACATTTCCTTTTTGTTGTCTCCCTCAATCCTGTTGAAATAATAATAAATAAAAATAAGAATAGATTCAGAGTAGCAGTTGGGAACAAGGGAAGATGTCATTTGTGGCAGAGAATCTTAGAAAGGTTTTTGGAAAACAGACAGAAAGATGGGAATGAACTACCAGAAAACCAAAAAGCAACAAACAAAACAAACAACAATCAGAGATAAGACATCTTTAACTCAGCATAGGCTGAAAAGCGGCACAACAAAGAAGATCTTTTACATGCAAACAAAGCCTCCTAGGTCCTGCTGTCTTTTTAATTTCTCAACTTTACTTTTCCCAGGTGTTCTTTTTTTTGGTCTATTTTTGAGACAGGTCTCACCATGCAGTTCAGATTGGCCCTGAGCTCACTTTGTAGCCGTAGGCTGGTCTGAGACTCACAACGATCTTCCAGCCTGAGCCTCCTGAATGCTAAGATTACAGGCATGCACTGCCATGCCCCCGCCTTTTTGAGTAGGTATTTTTCCCTGAATCCATTTTTCTAGTTCCCATTTAGATGTCACCCTCCCTGGGAGCCTCTCCTGAATCCCTAGAATGAATGAGGTTCGAAGAGAGGCCTGTACTTCATTGGAGCTGAGAGAATGAAACCGTGTTCTTTCTCAGCAGACTAGGGTAATCAGACAAGGGTTTATAAATTTTACAACTTACAACATTATTTATGAATATTCAACAGGTAGCAGCTAAAGTGAAATTTTCATGCACAACAGTTTTTTATCCTGAAAATATCTTCTATAAACATTGAAGAAAAAATTTTTCATTCAGAAATTTCAGAAGAAAAAAATTTTTCCTTCTGAAAAAAGAAAAAAGAGTACCAAAGGTAAACCAGGGCAGTTTAAAACAATACTGCTGTATGATTTTCAAAAAAAGTTAAAAGATCTTTTAAGAACAGAGGTATTTAGTAATCAACGCATTAGCTGTTTATGTTCTGCAGACATACCCTGTCAATTGTACCCAGAGCAGGTTGTAAACATTGCAGGTTGTAAAGAGTTAAACTCACAATTGACTTGTTTCAAGTAGTGAGTCAACACTGCAGCTATGGCTTATCTCCTCCACCACTGGCTACAGCAGACCAGAGATACCCCTGTGAAGATGTGGGGCTCCAATATAACATGGCAGCCAAGGACAAGGGAATCTTCTCAAATTGCTTTCCCAGAATTGTAGCTTATTTTGCTTGAAAAATGAGTTATTCATTAACCATGACCTATTCTGGTCTCTTATGTCCTTGATGCAAGGATGTTTTGATCTTTCCTTTACAAGTCCTGCCCAAGTCAGTGTCTTATCCCTAGCAAATACGCATGGCCTCCTCATCGTGTTCTATTGATTTTACAACCAATAAATACCGTGGATCTTGCTGTTTGGGGTCTTTGCTCAGAACTGAGCACTGACAATCCCAGTTCTTTGTTTCATTTTTTATCTTGTCTCTCAGTTTTTCTTTGCAGCCTTGGGTTGTAGCACCAAACAGAAGATAGGGTGCTTGTTGGGGTTCCCAATAATGTTCTACAGTGTAAATTTCTGTCTCCTCAAACTTTCAGTTTCATTCTGCTACAAATCCAAAGATTGTATGTGATTTTTAAATTTTTTAAATTTTTTGCAAAGCAAAAAAACCAGTCATCTTTCCATTTGGGTTTGACATAAAGTAATCTAGATATAGTTGAAAAGGGAAGGAAACAGTGTATAACTAAACTAACTCAAAAGTAAGTTACTCAAGAATTTGAAGAAGTTTAGGGTAAGGTGGCTGACTCTTCAGGGTAAAGAACAGGGAGATTAGAGCTTATGTCTGGGACATAGTTGCCCTGTGTTGACAGTGCCTTTTTATTATGTCCAAATTCCTTAAAGTCAGATCCTGGATTTTAAACTTAAAAAGAACCAGGAAGTGATTAAAAGTTTTGGCTTGTGCTGAGAAGCTAAAAAAGAGACGAAAAAATAATGTGAAAGTTTCTGGTGACTACAGCCAAGAGCAGTTTGATGTGGAGACAGGAAACAAGAGTGGTTTTGGGTTTATGTTGGACATAAAATGGCAAGAATGGGATTGTTATTAAACATCTTCAGAGTTCAGTAGTGAATAAAGATTTCTAGCCATAACCTTCCCATTAACACATTCTCCTGCTTCCCGCACTCCGGTAGCTTTTCAATATGATTGGGATAAGGTCCATGGTTTTTACCATGACCACGGCCAGCTTGTCCAACTCCTCATATACTAACCATTGTCATTTTCTATGCTTCTGCAAGCACTAGTCTCCTGAACTCACTGCCTAAAAAGCTCAATCTCATTCCACATCCAGAATCTTTTAATGCTTACTAATTTGTGAAGCCCTTAGCTGCCGCATCATCTCTATATATTCTGACTAAATGTAAGTTAAAAATGTTAATGCAAGCTGAATGTGGTGGTATACATCTGCAACCCCAGCCCTTGGGGCATGAGGGTCATCACAAGTCTGAGGTTAGCCTGGGCTGCACAGTGAGTTCAAGGCCTGACTGAACTACATGGCGCTACACCCTGTCTCAAGAAACTAAAACCAACCAGCATACAAAAAACCCAAAACCCAAAAACATCTCAATATAAAAATGTTTGAAATTTCTGATTCTTAAAACAAACTAATTTAATGTTATTTTAATATTTCAGAGGAGCCTAGGATAGCCAAATATCAGAACCAGTATTGTAATGATTATTGAATAATTGGGTCACTATTTTTTAAAAATCTGGAAACTATGAAAAAAGTAAGTTTAACGTTTAGTCATTTTTGTTTCATATATTTTATTTTATCATGGTGGTGGGGACTAAACTCATGACCTCAAAATGCTAGGCACAGAACTAGACTCTCAGGTAAATTTTGGTTAAAGAGACAAAACAATTCAGGTAATGTTGAAGATGTCTCTGTTGTTTTATGTTGTTCTGTTAGCAAATTATACCAAATGCATGAAATTGCTGTATAGTTCATGTTTTCATATTTTTATTGCAATGTATGTGTATGCATGAAGATTAGCATTGTTTTGTGTGTTTTCTGAATTTTAGATTCTAGTCTATCCTAAAACTGGATTTTTCACTCAGTGTTTGGCTTCAGTTCTTGATGCTATGTTTGGACCTATTTCCTTCATTTTAACAGGACATAGCAATATATATTTGTCTTTCCTTTATTTATGGCTATCTAGGTTTTTTCCAGTTATTTGATACAAATGTTACTTTATGAAATAGACTTGTGCATGTTCTTGGGTACACATGATTCTCAATCCTCACTGGATATCAGAATCACTGTTGGAAGATTTTCTAAAACTATAGATGGCTTCTCCTACTTATAAAGATCAGGTTTTAATTGGTGGATGTTAGATTTGAGACATCCTTATTTTTTAAAGATTGTCCAAATGATTCTTCTCATAACATGAATTCTTATTTTTATTCTCTATTCTACATAGCATAGCACCAAAGTAAGACTAAAATAATAATAACAAAAAGAAGGTGATGAAATAGAAGCTAGGACTGAAGACTTTAAAACATTTATGCTACAATTCTATAAGTGGTCCAAAAGTTGGGCTATTACTTTTTTAGACAATCAAAAAAGAGAAGTCTTATTAGTTATACCACTCTGTGTTCATGAACTTAGAGCAACTAATGTTTAATTAATAAAAAGTAACTGTTCTAAGACAGAGTAAGATTTTTTTTTACAGGTTGTTGGCATAAAAAAAGACAGTGGTGCAATGAGTGGTGTCTAAGACATCAACGACACTAAAACTAGCTTTATAGAGTCATTGTTTAGAATAATTTCCAAAATAGCTGCAACTAAAGATGTATTTCCTTACTTCTATAGCACTTTATGTAGACCTCTAAAAATAATTATCCACGTATATTTAATTCTTTGCCCTGTCAGATTTTGAGTCCTTTAAGGGTCATGATCATCTAGGATTTGCCACAGAGTCTGGCATATAGTAGATGCCAAAGTTGTTGAAATAATATATAAATTGTGTTCTACTTTCATCTTCTGGCATTTACCTCGAACACTATCCAATAAGGTTCCTTCAGTAGCATAAATATTTAATCCTTGATGTAAAGTGATCTTTACTAACCATTCTTCTACAGCAGCAATATCTGAAAACAAAAGACAGTGAACTATTTTATATATCACCCTGATGAAACTGAAGAATATGTAAACATCATCAATGATGACAACTTTTCCTTTTTCAATCATTTTTGGTACCTTTATATGTCAAGTTTCCCATGTTTTTCTTATAAACATTTTGCTGATAAAATAATGAGAAATTAATTGTGAAGTGCTCTGACTACCACAAAAATGAATTGGCATACTGCTTTTTAAAGACAATTATTTTTATTGGTGCATTTTAGATACACGATGGTCACATTCACCATAGGAAACTTGTACCTGTATATGATATAACTTCATTCTTTTTTTTCCTCATTTCTCTACCTCTTTGAACCCCTTTCCTTCTTTATTTACAAAAGCTTTGCTTCCATTTTTCTATCTTTTCTAATTTTTTTTACTTTGCCCTTCCCCTTCCCTTTTTCTCCTTCCCATTTAAACATTTTCTTCCTATTTCATGGATTTTGGTTTTCAGAGAAACAATGCAATATTTACATGTATGTCTAAATTTATTTCACTTAAGATTATGGTTTTAAAATACATCCATTTCCCTTGAAAGGCCTCAAGCTTATCCTTCTTTATGGGAGAGTAGTACTTGATTGTATTAAAAAAACACATCTTCTTTATCCATTCACTGGTTGGTGGGTAGTTGGACTGTTTCCAAACTTGCACACTACTATTTTAGATCATAATTTTTCTCCTAAAGCTGTTGTGACTCGCTAAGAAGCAATTTATGGTCTTCTTGTGAAATGGTATAATATTATGTAAAAATATTCATCAAAGAAAACTTTGTGACTGATGGCTTCACTGTTGCTTGTCACACATACGAGGGGTAACTAATATAAATCCTTCTCAAGCTATTCTAAAAAATTGAAAAAGTAGAAAATTCAAAACTCATTCTATAAACCCAAAATTATTGATATCAGAATCGGAAAAGGAAACTACAAAAAGGAAACATTTCTGATTAAAATATATGTAAATATTCTCAACAAAATACTAGAAAACTTAGTTCCTTAGCATGTTAAAAAGATCATTCACCATGATCAAGTAGGATTCATCCCTGGAATGAAGGATGGTTCAACAGTAAGAAAGCAAATAACTCAATTAAAAATGGGCCAAGGATCTGACAAATACCACACATTCTCCCTAACACATGGAATGTAGAAAAGATGACACACAGATACAATGGAGAGTATTATTGGACAAGAGGAAGAAAATATGAGGAAGGGGAGGAGGTAGAAAGGCAGTTACTAGGGGGATAGAGTATGAACAAATGTATTTATTGATATTATACTCTCCCTCAAGGCACAAGGGAGGATGATGATGACCCAAATATGCTATATGCATGTATGAGCCTGCCAAAATGAAATCCATTAATCTACAGTCAATAGAAGAATGAAAAAATATCTCTATATGGCACCACGAGCTTCAGTTAAAACATTTAAAAATGGAGATAATAAGGGTACTTATCAAGAGTATACTTCCTATAGTGAGAAATAAATGAGTTCATTTACATAAAGTCTTTTAAGTATGTAACTCCATAAATGCTAGTGGCTATGCCTACTATTATTACAATGGAAATTTTGCTATCTTTGCTGTTGATGCTATGTAAACTATTTTTCTAAGATTTTAAATATACAGATGGCTCCAATTTATGATGGTTACATTTTGTGATTTTTTTGCTTTATGGTTGTGCAAAAGTGAGACACATTTCATAAAAAAATACTTCAAATTTTAAATTTTGATTTTTTTCTTAGGCTTCCAATATGTGGTAAAATACTCTCTTGTGATGTAGGGCAGCAAAGTGAACAGTCATGAGGGGAAATAACTGTGTTGCCAAGCTATACTGTTCAGTAGCTTAGGTATAGTAAATGTATTTTGACTTATGATATTTTTAACTTAATACAGGTTTATCTGGATGTCACCTCCTCGTAAGTTGAGAAGTATTTTCCCACAGTACTCAAATTCATGGCATGGCAGAAAATCAGTTATGATTAAGGAAGAAAACAATGAATGAGGAAATCTGTTTTTCTTTCCTGTAGCATTTTAAATCTGATTTTTATCATATTACTATATACCATTGCTGAGCTCATTTGACCTTTTTCTACAAATTTTTATATTCTTATATCAGCTTTGTTTCTGTCTGAATGATCTCAGAATTAATGCATTTTGAATTAAACTTGTAAATAACTGAAGTAAAAATAGCATGTTATCTTCATTGCTTTCCAACTGTTAAATTAATAACACTATTATACCAAGTACCTACAATAACATTTCATCCTTATACAGGTAAGTCAGTACAATTTAAAAATTCACAATTCATTCCTCACAAAAAAATCACATAAAGTTCCAATAACAAGATTTTTCTTCAAAATGAGATAAGTATCCCTCTCTCTTGTTGCTTCCCAGATACCATGAGTGAGCAGCTTCGCCTCACCACAGTCTTCTATCAGGATGTACTGCCTTGCCACGGGCCCAGAAACAATGGCGCAAGCCCACCATGGACTGAAACTGCTTGATGCCATGAGCCAAAAAGAAATCTTTCCTCCTTTAAGTATTTTGTCACAAACTGACTAACTGAAAGCTGACTAACACCGAAAACTGATACTTTGAAGTGAGTTGTTGCTGTAACTATACCAGATCATGTGATTTAGAAGCCTTTGGAACTAGTTTGCGTGAAGGATTTGGAAAGATTTGAAGTTGCAAACTACTGAAGCTCTAAGTCAGTGGTGGCAAACCTATGACACGTGTGCTGCAGTAGGCTCACAGAGCCCTTTCTGTTGGCACATGATTCAAGGAATCCCAGCAGTAGAGCATTGAATAATAATTGTTTTATCTAAACTAAATCTCCGATATTCAGGCTTAGTTGCACTGTTAGCACTTTGTGATAAATAAGTGGGGTTTGTGTTGAAGTCTGGACACTTGATCTCTAAAAAGTTCACCATCACTGCCTCTGTTGTAACCAGAATTTAACTGGTGATTCTAAAGTGGGTGTGGTAGGCACATCTGTAATCCCAGCACTCTGGGAGGCTGAGACAGTCTCAACTCAGGGGATTTAGCAGTTTAGACTGTTAAGGATTGTATCTAAATGCTCCTCCAAAACTTCACAAAGTCATAGGTGGGGCTTTTTGGAGGTGGTTGGAGCTAGGGTGTGTCATGTTGGTATTAAAGTGTAATACTGAGGTTAAGGGTGTGTGTGATTACTAAATTAGTCCAATGATTGACTTAACACAGTTTTGGGTGAGGATAATGGAAGCTTCATTTGGGTGTGGGTGGCATCACCCAAAAGCAGGTATCCTAGAAGGAATAAAAAGAAGAGGCAGTAAAAATTGTTATGTGTATATTTTTGATTCTTCTGCTAATATCTCAATATCTGTTCAAGATATTAGATGACAAATCAATGACCTGTCAGACTCTAAATTTCCCTGGACTTATCCGTACTCTCCTTATGGGAAGTCATTACAAACTCCTCCTGGTAGAAATCTTTGTTAAGGATACTCATAATTATCCTGTGGATTCTATTGTTTGGCCCATGCATACTTAGTTGTTTCTTTGGATTTTTCTCCTCCAGACTTAAAGCTGTATGCCTACCCAAGATGAAAATGCTTAATGTCTATCGAGGACCTTTAGATAGAACCTCTGTAGAGTATCTCTTGACTGCCGATCAACAGCTACAAACTCCTTCAGTCTGAAGAAGCCAGATTGGTCATCACCCATTACTCCCTCATGGAAGTTCTGGGTACTGTGTTACTCTCTGTATCAATTATAATTTCCTTGGCTTCAACCTTACATATGCTTATTCATGACCAAGCTGAAGGAGAAAAGTTATAGGCAGTTAAGATAGATAGAAATATTATAGTCATCTTGTGCAATTGCATAATGAAAGTATATAACTTGTTTCTTGATTTTTAAAGGAGCTGATAGCTTAGAGTTTGTCTTGAATCTCAGCAGAGACTTTCGATTTGGACTTTTGAGCAATGCAGGAACAGTTAAAAAGCATGTGGACTCTTGGAGATGGACTGAATTCATTTTGCATTATGAGATAGATGATAATTTTTCAGGGCTAGGGTTTAGCTGTTATGGTTCGGATTTGGAATATGCCCCAAGTTTATGTGTTGAAGGGTTTGTCTCTAGTTGGTGGAGGTGTAGGAAAGTGAGATGAAAACTTTAGGAAATGGAGCCCAGCTTCAGGAAGTAGTAAGTTCCAAGGGATACACTTTTGTCCCAAACTCCTCCCTTACACTTCCTTTCTCTTTTTGTTTAGTAGCTGCCGTAATGAGCAGCTTTGCTCTGTCATGGTCTTCTGCCACGATGCACTGCCTTACTACAGGCCCAGAAACAATGCAGCCAGTCCACCATGATCTAAAACCTCTGACAGCATGAGGCAAAACAAATCTTTTCTCTAAAGAAAAAAAAAGATGAATAAAGAGAAAACATAGTGATACAATCCATGTTAGATCTGATAGCACTGAAGTTTCTGCTGCAGATTTCATCTTTGGTACTTCACTATAGAATCTTTTCTATCATTTCTGGCCTCTTCTCTCCTTTCTCCACCTTCATTCTTTAGGATACATTTTACTGTCTTATCTAGAAAGGCTGCCCTATCTCACCCTCCCAATTATTAACTGCCTGCTGTATTTAATTGGCACATGAGTAGATCTTACGAGAAAAGTAGTCTCCTGACAATATAGTTCTGGAAATATTAGCCAGAACAAACAGACAAGAGGGAGAAATAAAAGGAAAAAAATAGGAAAAGAAGAAGTTAAATTATCATTATTTGCAGATGACATGATAGTCTACATAGAAGACCCAAAAAACTCCATTAGAAGACTACTAGAGGCAATAAACAAATTCAGTAGCATAGCTGGATACAAAGTCAACACTCAAAAATCAATAGCATTCCTGTACATACACACATACCAAAAAAAAACCTCCATGGGAGAGAAGTTATGAAAATATCACCTTTCACAATAGCATCTAAAAAAAAATG